CTTAAGAGAAATCAGAGGCTACGCTGCGTTATTACAGCATTGTTGAATCTTGGATTAGCTTTTTATGATTCAGATCTTTTTTAACAATGATTTTTGTAATAGTTGTAATTTATTGCAATATATCTGATTCTGGTTAACATGATATGAATTGTATTTTGTTGTCATGTATTGATTGCCATATTAGGACCCCTTCGGAAACGAGATGGTGCATCTCAAGGGGTTTATCCTAATACATTTGAATAAACAATTTGTGTATTTATTTCTTTTTTATCTGTCTGTTGATCTATGAATAAAAAATATTTGCTATTATGAATATATGTAAGGAGATCCATACTATAATATCCCTAAAGACCACCTTCTTGTTGTTCATAAACAGCACGCTATTACTGTACAAGAGAATGTATGCTCAGATAATTTACCTGGTAAATAAAGCCAGAAAAAGTACTAGAATTAGTATTTTTTTCTAAGAGAAACTTTATCCTAACTATATCTTAAACATTTCTATTTACTGTTATCAACAATATGTGTCAGTGTGCGTAAGTACATTCACTTAGTTAAAAAGGTTGAGAGCCTTTAAGAGGAATGGTCTAGTAGTCTATTGTTTCTCAAAACAATCCTGATTTATGGTAGTGGGAGAGTTTTGGCGTCCTCGTATTTTAACTTTGGACCTTGAACCCTATAGTCCTCTTTGCCATCTTTTTTTAAAGAGAAACTGACATAAAACAGGCTTGAAACACTCTGGGAAAATGGATGGTATGTGGTGGGAGGATCGCCCTGCACAGTTCTTCTCTTTGACCTGACAAAGATGCTATTGTAGATAAAAAATGTTTGATGGTCTTATAAAGGAGTTGAGCATCAACAGTGTGAAGGCTGTTATTCTTTGGTTTTTCCATTAAAGTTAAAGAGTGTTGAAATTTGCTATTCTCTGCTCCTGACAGAAACTTGTACTTGTTTTTCAAACGACTGATTTGCTAATTAATTTGTTTACTTATTCATTTATTTGCATTGTGCATTTGTAATAGATTTGCTTACTTTGCATAATACATATTAGGGACAATCCACATGGGAGATAAAGATAAAAAGTTTCTTGATATTTCCTGCAGATAATGATTTTACTATTTGACTCACTTTTACATTTTGTCTGTTGCCTTTGTTCCCCTAGATATCTGGCTCTGTACGCCTACAAGCCCCAGAAGGCCGATGAGCTTGAACTTAGGAAAGGGGAGATGTATCGGGTGACAGAGAAGTGTCAAGATGGGTGGTTCAAAGGCACCTCGTTGAGAACTGCTGCCTCCGGTGTCTTCCCAGGAAACTACGTCACCCCCGTGTCCAGGTCAGTGTCCCAAGGAACTATGTCCTCCCAGCATCAAGATAAAAGAAAGTAGCAGAGTGGTGGTTAGTTGGTAATGAAGCTTAAAGTACAGTACAGTATTTCACTTCTTTTGCTCAAGTGACTGAATTGCTAGAGAGACCACAGCACCCAAGTTTATTCCCTCCAACAACCACATGTCCCCTCAAAGTGTTCTTCTGCAACACCCCTACCTGCCACAGCTGTAATGAGCTTCTACTGTAAATGTAGCTTTAACTACCTCATCCAGGTGTGAGGGCTGAGGGGTCGGTAGAGGTGGTCACGGTTTCTGCATTGAAGCCAATGCAATCATTTTCTTGCTCCACTTCTCATTCAGTTCATTTGGTTTGGTCATGTGAACCCAGCAGTGCAATGCAATCACACTAAGACCCCTAATTTTGTCCTCACACAAAGGAAGTGGAAGCACTAACACAGTCGTTGTAATTTACATTGTAATTTTTCATGGTAATTTCCTGGCTCCAACTGAAGCTGAATACAGATTAGGCATGAGCAGTGCAATTTGGCTACTTGTTATAGCATGTAATTGCGCTTGTGTTTCCATGTTCTCAGAGTGCCTCTTGTCACAAAGGCACACTGAAAAAGCTATTTTTTGGGCTTGAGATGTCGGGTGGCAAAGTGTTGCAGTTACCGCATTCCTCGTGCTGATAATGTATTCTTTCTACTTCAGCCTCTACTCCGCACTGTGCCACACGCTTTGTCACGATTCTGCTTTCACCACGAAATTGTTTGGTCACACCAGAAGCACAGTCTGAAAAGTCCTTACCAGGAAGGGACTGTGAACTACTCTACTACTACAATGTCCCTTCTCATCAGAAAACAAAACCACTTTGTAATAGAATGGGAAATCATGTGAAAATCAGTTTTAACCAATCCATCCCTTTTTGGTAAAGCTGGATGTTCAACAAAAAAAGGATGAGCCTTAAAAATTTATCTTCACAGATTTGACAGAAATTAGAACTAGGAAACAGATTTTAAGAGACACTGTCAGACTTGAGATATTTTTTTAATTTAGTTTAAATACAATCTAAAATACAAAAAACAGTCAGTTGATACTCTATCTTTCTAATGTTGGACTACCACATACTCAGTGTAGATCATTATCATTGTCATACTTATTTTCGTCATGTTTATCGTTACTTTTGGCACCCTTAACACTGTAACTCATAGCTGTTAAAACCAAATAAAACAGAATGAGTGTGCTGAAATCATATTTGGCAATTTAATTACCCTCAGTATTCCTGTATGTGTGAAAACATTTGCAGTGGCTGTTCATCGAATCTGTATTCTGCTCCTTGATGCAGTCAAAGAAAAAGAGAGAGGAAGAAAATAAAAGCAAAGGAGAAGTAGAATAATAGAAAAAGAAAGAAAAAAGTAATGTAGGATAGACAGAAAATGTGAGAAAGAAAGAAAATAAGCAAAGGGGGAAAGGGTAAATGGCTGAAAGATGGGAAGAAATTGAAATAGAAGATATTGAAAAAGTGTCAGAGTGAGGAGACGGAGACAGAGAAAGCAAAAGAAAGAGGAAATGATACAAAGAGATGAAACGGCTGCAAAAACAGCAGGTGTCCCTCTACAGTGGATATGAATGGCTGCTTCAAATACTGCAGTTATGCAATCTGAGAGAGGAGAGAGAGAGAGAAAGGCAGGATGGGCGAGTAATCAAATGAGAGGCAATTTGTTATTTTTACGCAAGCATACTCTCTCCTTCTCACTCCTTCCATCCTTCCCCCCTTACCTCTCCCTCCTCCTTTGTCTGCACTGCAGCTCAGAAATTTCTCAATATGATAATGAGAGGCTGCCAAAGATGCACACACACTCACACACACACCACAAACACACGACACACACAAACACACACCAACCACATTGTAGAGTCTTAGACCAATACAGGCAGCCAAATAAGGCGTCATTCTTTCGGAAATGCCAGTTTGTATTTGCATATTTTCTTGTGTTTTATTAGTATAGTTGATACAAACATATAGTAGTAGATGTAAAGTACATATACACAATTCGATCGAATTCCAAATAAGACTGCATGAATCAATTTGGATTATTGTTTACTGGATTTAATAATGGCATATAATGTCATAATGGCATAAAAAATGCCGGTTCAGACGACTCAAGAATGCAGTTCTGGTTCAAAGGATGACTGTCTATTGTATGAAGTCTTTAAAGTTACTGACAGCAGACAGAAATATCTGTATGGGCTTTTAAGTCCATGCGTTAAACCCAGCACATGAGCAGTTAAAATTTGTGTTCATAGAAAATCTCAAATCAAAGAAACTGTGAATATCTTTGCTGTTTCCATTGGTACATACACACACACACACACACACACACACACACACACACACACACACACACACACACACACACACAGAAAGCCATAACTCTGTATGTATGTGACAGGAAGTCAATGGGCGGCCATAAGAGTGTGAATACCATCGAGTCAATAATGTTCAGCTCATTATTCTGCCATTCAGCACTCTGCAGCCCGCAGCTCCATATATGTTACAGTAGGTCACTATGTTGTGCTGATCCACCGGCCAGATAATAGCACTGAAATCACTGACTTTGACAGAGGATAATAGTACTGTTTGTTGCTGCTGCTCTGCTATTATGACTAAATACTGCCTATTAACATTTTGTACTACACCAGAGACTAAGAGTCCACAGCCATGCTAGCAGCTCTGTGAGGCTGTACTTCGACACAGCATTGCTTTGGGCTAAGTCCTAACATAGGCATGCTAACATGATGACGAAAATGTTAACACGTGATAAGCAGGCGTTCACAAGAATAATTTAGCTTGTTATTATGCAGCTGAGGCTGATGAAACGTCAACAGTGTGGCAAGTAAGAAAGTTTTGGACAAATTCAAGATAACCCTGAAGATGAAGCCAGAGGAAATGTCAGGGGATTACCTTGTTAAGTTATTACATTTCATCCTGATGATCGTGTGTCTGTACAAAATTTCATGGCTTGTTGTTGAGATATATCACTCAATAAACCACAAATGTCAACCTTTGGTGATTGCTAGAGGAAAAGTCAGAGGATCAACAAAATCATTAAGATCTTCTGGGAACCATGGATATCTGCTTAAAATTGCATAGCAATCCATGTAATAGTTATTATGATATTTCCCTCTTTTTTTTTAAAGGAAGACCTATGTAATATTCTTTTGTTAACGTGATGAAAGCAAAAATCAATATCTCTCTCTGCTCTCTCCTCTGCAGGGCTCCATTTGGAGTCGGTGCTTCTCGGGGCTCAGGTTTGTCCAGTCCAGTAGGTGGATGGAGGCAGTGGCGGTGCAGTCAGGCGGGAGTAAAATCTCCGATCCCTTGTTCCCGAGGGTCCCCAGGGCCCTCTTGCCCCGTCCCTCCCCCCACCTGGTAAACTCAGCCAACACCGTCAGCCGCCTCCTCGCACAAACTGCCACGTCGCCCAGCTGAAGAACTGCCTGCGCTCCAGTCAGCAGACCGTTAACCAGGCACGCACCTCGATGCAGCTGGGTAAGCAGAAACTGCACACAATTGTAGAAATACACATTATGGGTTTTAATTTTTACATCAAACATTTTAAGTAAAGGATTTATAATCTTCTTCACCAAAAGAAAGAAATGTGGAAGGGTAGGTGGATCTTGTTGCATCTGTTCAGGGAAATGTTAAAAGTGTTTAATCACATGCAGATGTCTCTGTCTGTGGTCTTTTTCCAACTTTATGCTCCCCAAGACCATTCACTGAGCCTACAGGTTTAAAAGAGTCCAGATCATTTGGGACCTTGCAGCATTTTAGCCTGTTGATCTCTGATTACAGAATAATAGAATATTGATCAGTCATTAATTCAAGTAGCCTCTGCGCTGTAAAAATTTGCAGGCGTATGCTCACAGCGGCCTCTTTAACCTCCAGTTTCATCAATGCTGTTAGTCATATGCAAAAAAAAGAAAAAAAAAAATCAGAGCTATGAAAATTTACATGAATGCCCGAATGAATGAGACGGATGAGATACAGTTGGTGGCATTCACATATAGCGCATGGCCAAAAGTTTGTGGACATTAAAATCCTATGGGATTATTGAGCATCTTATTCCAGGGGGAATCCAGTTAGTCTTAAAGGTGCTGAATTGGGTCGACATCAGGGCTCTTTATCTTTACCACATCTTTATCGACCTTGCTTTATGCACAGGGACAGTGTCATGTTGAAACAGGAAAAAGTTTTCCACAAACAGTTGCAAGTTGGAAGTGGATGATTGTCCCAGAATAACATATATTTTTGGCCATAAAGTGCATGCATTTTATATATATATCAATATTTTTAATCAATATTGATACAGACTGAGTTATATGCACAATATCTTTTTGAATTACAATTCATATACCATTCTCTGTCCATCCAATCCAATTTTTATATCTTATAACTATCACAGAACATGAAAAAAGCTCCCATTCCCACCTACTTTTTCACCTTTAAGGTAGAAGACAGTACAGAGGTGATTGGAAATGAGGGAAGAGAGATGAGGGATGACATGCAACTCGAACCAGGAAGATTGCAATTATATTGTCAGCATCTGAAACCCCTATAGGCCCTAACCTGTATGTCTTTTGACTGTTGGGGAAAAAAAACAGAATAGAGAAGAGCATAACTCCACACAGAAAGAAAGAAGCACCCAGATGGCTGGTATATTCTTGCTTTTCGACTGACAAAATATGTTTTAGGGTAAAATAAAATTCTGCCAGATGTGTGATAGTCATATGGCCTGTATCTGCAAAATGTTCACTACCAATTTTTTGGGGGGTTAGGCTAACTACAAGTATGAGAATTGATGTTGTTGGAAGCACACATCATGTACCCATTTACTACTCTGCACTGTATGAATCCACTGAATTATCACTGAACACAATAGTAGTTACAAGAACATATTGTAACTCAGAATAGAATAATTTAGCACAATTGCAGTGTTACAACATGCAAACAAACATTGTGCACATTAATCGGATCTCTCATCACACAGTGGTACTGTTTGTGCCTGACATGCACACACTCACACACAGTTCTTAGCAACACACACACACACCTGTCTCTGAGCAAGGTCCACATCATATCGGCCTTGTTCTCCACTCAGAGCCTATTCCACTCTCCAGTTCCCCTTTCTCGCTTTTGTCTTTGTATCTTTTCTTTCTCCCTCTGAGAAAATAATGGCCAAGGTTTCTTTTGGGAGAG